TCATGAATGATGGTTCAGGTGCTTGAGAGGACTGGTGGAGGTAGTAGAGCATGAGTATCATTACCTCAAGAACATGATGCATGAAGTCTTCCAGGTATACTTGCTTTAGTTAATTAAATTCATACAACATTTCGTATGATTTATAAATCAAGTATATATATTGTTAATGATTACTGTTAACAATGTTGAGGGATGATATGTGAATGGTTGCAGCTGGAACAGCAGAGGCTATTAACTGTAAGCTAGCCAAGCCAAGTTACTTTTCTAATGCCTTGTTAATTGTTACTTTTATAAAATTAAATTATAATCCCTTTGTATTTACTATTTTCCCACATCCGACATATGAAATTTTACCCATCTTAGTAAAAATCATTTAGGTACAGAGACATAAACATTTACTAGAAAAAGAAACTGAGCTATGTCTGAATACATCCATGTTGCCCTGAGAAAATTTAAAAGAAGATAAAGGTTGGTTAGTAAAAAAGAAAAAATATAGAAAGTGAAGAAAAATTATAGAAAGGCTAGCTCACTCGTGGAGTAGGTGCAGCCTGAATGAAGGTCAGCGGAGGACCGTCTGAAGCTGACAAGACACCGTGATGTTCAAGACACCTGCATGCGTTTTCTAAAGAGAGAATACCGAACTGATTAACGAGGTGTCTTGGAATGTGGTTGATCAAGTCTTGCATCGACAGCGACTGTTCTACTGGAAATCCGCTCCAGCGCTTCAGCATGCACTCGAATTGCCTTATAATCGCAACGGCGAAATAAAAGGCAGCGTTTTGAACTAGTCTTGATGAAGACAGTACCCAGATGTTTCTGATTCTCCATGAATCATATCTCACTCCACTGTTCAGTATGGCTTCTCTTAAGAAGAGAGGAATGGTGTTCCAGGAATCAGATTGTTGATTCGTCACGTCCTCGTAGGTAGGCCAGTTGGTCATGATGTATATTTCCTAGAAAAAAAATGATTTAGAGTCTTAAATGGCATTTAATCACACAACAAAGCATTAGAGTCATGGAATGGCGTTTACCTTCAAGGGAAGGTGGAGAGTCCTTGCAACTTGCCTGAAAACTACTCGGACATGAAGACTTTGTGTGAAGAGTAGTTCACAACCATTTTTTTCAATGTTGTTGATTCTGACCATTGTCAATGAGATACTCCGGCGAAGTCTCTGGCTGGAGATGAGAAGATGGAAACTGCGCATGCGCCTGACTAGGGTAACCCTCGCAGGCTCCATCAGACGTTCCTGAACGGGGTTGAGCTCTTGTCCAGTCAAGGTTAACCTCCCTCTGAGGCCACCGAACTCGACAAGATTCATTGTCCTCTTGTTAAGAGAGTGGTGATGGTCCGTGTCTTGGGTATTCAAAACCCGAACACTGCTTTAGTTTCACTTGTCGAGTTCGGTGGCCTCATCGTGACGTCGATCCATGATGACCAATCAATCAGTTCCTGGAGATGTAAATCACGATGAATCAACCATTTCAGAACATAATAAGTTATCATCGATTTTATAGTTGTTTCAAACGCACCTTGAAATAAAAGGTTAGTATCCTCTCCTCCCACCAAACTATCTTTGTATAC